TTTAAATCACCAGTGGAAAAATTTTAATGGGGTTATTTTCTCTTTTTTAGGGGGCTGGTATTTTATTTTTCTGTAACTTCCCTGTTGGTGTTTTGACACACTGTGCTTCTCCTGCCAATCCCATAAAGGAGGCAGACTTTCCAGGTTTCACAGATCAGAAAATGGAGGCTCAGAGACTCACCTGAAGCTACAGAACCAGTAAATGGTAGAAGGCCTCTGGCTCCAGAGACTGTGCTCTTTCAGTATCCGGGGTTCCACTGCATCACTTGGTGGGGGTGAGGGTTCAGAACCATTTTGGGATGGGGAATGGCCTGGGTTTCCGTGGCTTGGTGCAGACAGCTCCCAACTGGCCCTCAGGGACTACCCGGATATGGAGCAGCTATATCCAGGAGCAAGTGACCCTACACACAGGGCTCACCTGTGCCCCTGCCAGGGCCTAGCGCAGAAACAGAATGTATAACTGCTTTCCTCAGACATGAGCCTTTGTTCTCCACATGACAGCCAGGAGCAGCTAGTTGTGCTCTCAAAGCACTGGTTCTCAACTGACTGCATGACAGAGCCCACTGGGCCCCACTCCACCGCTGTGGCTAGGGGGGCAGGCACCCACACATTAAAAATGCCCCTTAGATGACTCCAATTTGCAGCTGGAGTTGAGAACCAATGTCCTGAGCTCAGAGTTTATTTGGGAGACTCCCAAAAGATGTATTTGCAGAGCCCCCTTTGGGGGAGAAGGCCATTGGTCTTCCTTGGAAGACCATGGCAGCTCCCTGAGGGGACTGGCCATGGTCCAGGCCTGCCACTCTTGGGTCACAAGGCAGAGGAGGGGTCTGCTGGGTGGTCTGGACTTCGTCGAGATGGTGTGTCCAGTTGGGTCCAGCACAGCGGCCATGGGCTAACCCAGCACTGCCTGGGCTGTGGAAAGGCTGTGTAAGTGGGTGCCCTCTCAGCCCATTGGTACTTCCGCAGCTCAGGCCAGCCTGAACACTGTTGACTTCCTGAAAGCCACCAGAATCTAGCCTCAGGGAGGGGCTGCCATCTCCCTTCCTGTGGGCTGCAGCCGAAATAACTCCACCATGATGGTTCTCTTTACAACAGACTCAGTCCCAACTCAGAACCACTGACACTTTCCACTTTGTAAATCTACGTTTTTACATTATTTCTGGTGATTCATTTTCTCCTAACAACAACCCATTCACCAAGAAGAATCCCAGAGGCTCTCAGCTCTATTCCAGGAAATAGGTCAACAACCACTGAAACTGTATGAGTTAAAGCAGAGAGGTGTGTCAAACCACAGATAGCCTGCATGGCTCAGGCCATGTTCCCCAAGAGCGCCCACTGCATCCTCGCACCTCTGTCCTCCCTCTGTTAAGGCATATGGAGAAGGACTAGGTTCAGCCAGTGAGGTATAAGCTGTACCTGTAATTACTGACTGCAGCTCTGGGGTGCTGAGGAGTCAGCCACTCTCCTGATACAAGAGCCACAGGAATTACAAACACCTAGGGCCACACGGGGACCCTAGGCTAAAAGTCAGAATCTGACAGGGCCAACTCGGGGTTTGGGGTAGACGAGATCTGCCTCAAGACAGACAGGATGGAGGGATGGGCCTCATGGGCTCTAGCAACTGAGACCTCTCCTCCAGGGCTCCCAGAAGCCACTAGATCTGGGTGTAAGAATGAGGAGGAGAGGAGGAGACAGGAGAGGAGACGAGGAGACAATGGAGATGTGGTAAGACAAGGACCGAGACTGGCACAGAAAGGCCCGACCCCTAGGGTGGGCAAGAATGGATGTGGGGCTGGCACGAGAGGCTGTCCTGACAAAGACGTGCCTGCCAGAGTCACCAGGGCCAGAGAGAAACAGAGGGGCCTGCAGGCTGCCAGCAGCAGGGAGGAAGCCACAGACCCTGAGTGCAGGGCGATGAAACAACGGGAGAACCCAGACCAAGGGCACCTTGGCTCTCTTCTGCACTCCTGACTCATCCGTGCTCACAAAGCCACCCTCCAGTGTACTTTTGTTAGGAATCTTAGTAGAATTTAGCAATGGCTTATGGCCAAATCACTTTTTATTACTGACTTAGAAAAAGAGAAAGTTATTTCCTTCCTGGGCTAATTCACATCTGAGTTGGGGCTACCAGATCAGGCCTACACTGGTACAGACGGCTCAACACCAGCTCCGCTAGGTGATGTATTTCAATAAATCTAAGATGTTATCAATTAGAAGAGGCTATTAAGAAGATGCCATTAAAAGGCCAGACACAGTGGCTCACGCCTGTGATCCTAGCACTCTGGTAGGCCAAGATGGGAGGATTGCTTGAACTCAGGAGTTAGAGACCAGCCTGACTAAGAGTGAGACTCCATCTCTACCAAAAAGAAGAAAAAAAAGAGAAGATGCCATTAAGAAAGAAAATGGCTGCAAATTAATCTTAAGATATCATTGGTTACAAGATGAATCCTGACCTGACATGTTAAAATGCCTGAGACTGATGCACAAGCCTCGCAAGTGTGCAGACTGATGTAGACACAAAGATAGGGCCTTGCTCGTCCTGTGTAGACTGGCTCCTCCACAACCACAGGGCAGGCACCGTAAAACCTCCTTCCATTCCTGCACAGGTGCTGGTAGCGGGGAGGAAGGCTTGGAGCAGCCGAGTACCTTTGCTCACGGGGAATGTAAGCAGCAGGAAGCAAGGCCGAGATTCAGAACCAGGCCAGGCATGAGCTGAAGCGAGCTACACCCCATCTCTCGGCAGAGGGGAAGACACTCTCGTTCCTTGTCTCAAGCATTCTCAGAATCACTTCCTCCAAGATGGTACTTGCTTGGTTCACCCTTTCATCAAAGTAACAGGACCCCCTTGAGAGCACATGGCCATCCTCTTGTGAGCAGCCTGCCACCCTGTCCACCCTTGAGTGACTCTCACCACTAAGCCTGGCTCCAAGCACATGACTGCCCAGTAGGCCTGTGGTACATTCTGGAGCCTCTCAGATCCAGAGGTTGAGGTATGATGTACGAGGGGCCTCTGGCTGTGCACATCCAAGAACAGGCAGACTGATGCTCAGCATCGTGAGCTCCAGGGCTGCCAGGCAAGACCCGGGTGTCGTGGAAACTGCAATCCTAAGAGCAGTGCTGGCTGGAGGGCTGAAGGCGAGGCCCTTCCACAGGTCCACTTGAAACACCAACCCCTCAGAAAGGGTGGGATGGGGGGAGAGCACGTGACTCCTGGAAAAATCAGTCAGTGCCGGGGCATCCTCTCCTGTTCCTACATCTGATGGGGCCAGGCATGACCCAGGCAGTTCTAGAATTCCTCAGGTTGCTTTACCCTGAGTCTTCCACAGTGGTCCTATCCAAGCTGGCCAAGGCAAGCTCTCTTGCTCCAAGTCTGTTAAATACAGTTTTTAGATTGGTCTAAATATTTTAAATATTTAGACCCAAAAGTTTAAATATTTTGGGCAAATGCCTGATTGAATTTCACAGTATCTTTGGTCTGGGAGACATATGGAATAATTTTCCTGATTACTAAACAGTCACTACGATCTATTATGAACCCTGCATCCCTTTGGAAATGGGATGAAAGCTATAAAGTCTTACCCAGGGAAAAATAAGTGCATGTATCTAAGTTTCAGAAATTCAATGACTGAATTTTGAGAAATGGACAGATCCCATGTAAAGAATCCTTGATTTGTAAGGAGCCACTAGGGCTGGCTTCCCTGTTTCAGAATTTAGGAATCATTCTTTAAGGGAACTGGCTGATATTCAACAATTCTAAGAGGGGTTTCCGGTGCCTGATGAGATTCCTGGGTGCAATTCCTACAGTGCAGGAGAAGCCCCTGGACAGCTTCTGTGGCTTTAGTGGGGTGGGGGGTGGGGGAGTTTTGGTATTCCCAGCTGAACCAACATCTTATAATGATCCAGGGAGAGAGAAAAATTTCTAGAGCCTGAGGATTAGAGATATTTTGAGTTCCAGAAGGGAAAGGTTTTCCTAAACTTAGTAGCAAAAGACCAGGTTTACAGAGAACCAGTCTCCCAGAGTACAGGAAGCGATAACTTTGAACGTCAAGGGAGCAGCAGGTGGAGCACCTGGGACTCCAGAAAGCCAGGCAGGCAGGTAGGCTGCCAAGCACCTCCAGAGGAATCAGCCCAGAGGGCTGGGGAGTGCCCTGGAGCGAAGGCTCCCTTGCTGAGTCTGGTGAAAGGAGCACGAGAAACATGGTGGGAGCTCAGCCACCGCTCAGCGAGGGCCTGGTTTCTCTGATGTCAAGAAACACAAAGGGAAAGAGGCTCCAAAGCCTAGGCAGTAATCAGTGATCCTCTTGATTTTAGAGGATCAAGCAGAGATTCCTAGAGCTGTTGATACAGCAGGGGTGGGGTTCCAAGGCTCAGCAGAGTGACTGTGATCCCTGGGAAGGGCCAGCACAGGCAAGGATTCCAGCCAGAGAACTGACAGGGCAGGAGCTGGAAGCCCTTTGCTAGGGGGCCATGGATGTTGCCAGGGAGGCTGGCACTGCGTGGCTGGGGGGCTGAGCCTGGAAGCCGTGGGAGTCTGGAGGGGATGAGAGGTCAGAAGAGGCACGGGCAAGTGGTGAAAGCACTGCCCCTCATCCGCTCCTGCGCTGCTCATCCAGGTGTGCGCTCTGCGGCAGGGGCTCACCTGCCCTAGGTCTCCTGGTCCTCACCTGTGAAATGGGGCAATGATGAAGACACCTCAGAGTTACTGTGAAGGTATGTGCTTCTGGTTCCCAGTAACAGCCTGAAGAATGGCTCTTTGCTTAAAGAGAGGGCACAGCATGGCGTTTTTCCAGGGTGCATCTCTGCGCTGTCCACCACTCCAGATGTGTCTATCATGCCCCCTCTTCAGGTAAATGCCACTATCCTCTTTGAGGAAACACAGGAGAATTAAGGAAGAGAGAGGCAGAACCTGCCCATCACCATCACTTGTGCATTCATTCAACAGAGATTTATTTAGCGCCTGCAATGTGCCAGGCCCAGGGGACACAGCTGGATAATGTACAGTCCCTGCCCTCAAGGAGCTCACAGTCTGGGGGGCAGACATGTAAACAACACAAGTTACAACGCGCTGTGTGAAGTGTCATGGCAGAGGTATAACAAAGTGCGCTGGGGTGCAACAGGGTTACTGATGATCTCTTCCTGGGCAGGGGTCAGGGAAGGCTTCACAGATCAGTCAATAAATACGGTGGCGCAGGAGTGCCTTGCACACAGCAGGCACTTACTACATGGGCCAGGATCATGTCACCAAAACATCTCAAATGCCAGTCCACCAGGAGGACCCTGGGTTGGGTGGGGACAAGGCCTACCTCTGCTTCCTCAGGCAACCTCCCCACCCCTGCCCTGGGTGTCCCCTGCCTGCCTGGGCCTGCAGCGACTGAGGAAGCCGGTCCCCACGGCAGGGGCCAGTGACAAGAGCAGCTGTACAGAGGGCCAACCCCACGGAATCTCTGACGGACTGAGAGAACAAATTACTGCTTGTGTCTCCCCAGCCCCAGGGCCTTTTATATTCCTGATAATATCTCTGAGCTTGTCTGTGAAGCTACTTCCTTTAACACTGTTTAGGAGACTCCAAACCCCCCGTCTTTTCCTTCTCTTCTTTCTCATGGGGATCAGACACTGGCTACTCTCAGGTGCCAGGGTGCAGCCCCCATGTGGTCACCCCATCAGAACGGGCTGCCTGAAGCAGCCTCCTGCACCTGAACTTGGTTTTTCTCCACACTCACAGCCGTCTCACCAGCTCAATGAGCTGCTGGATGTTTTTGTTTTGGTTGGACAGACCGTTCCTGATGTTTTCTAGCAGGCATCTCTTCAACTCAAATATGGCTTCACTGTAGGCCAAGCTCACCGCGGCCATAGGGGGTGCTCCGTGCCACAGGCCAGGGATGTGCCAGATGTGCTGCTTCTCAGGGTCACAGAAGGCCAGGCCTGCCAGCGCCCGGAAGCCGTCACCCTGTTTCTCCATCTGGGCTGCAGCTCTGCTCAGGTCGCTGGGCGGGTCCATCAGCTGTCTCTTATCTCTCGGCCTAGGGCCAGAGGCAGTCACCTCGTGTAGGTTCTGGTATACAAACTGATAGTTGGGCATGTGCCCAGTTTTTTCCAACCTCAGAAATGCGTGCAGAATAGCTGGTGGAATGTCCCTCGCTTCAGCTAAACTGACCACAGTGACGTTGCTCAGCCCCATAAGCAGAGTGGCCAAGGAAGCCTCCAGCTCAAACCTGTCCCCAGCAGAGGTCAAGGCCCCACCTATCAATCCCCCGGAGTCTATCACCAGGATGTGGTCACAGCCCAGGTCCTGGCTGAAGCCCTCGGCCACAGTGATGAGCTGCATGAAGGCCCCTCGAGGACCACAGCTCTTGCCCGTGGCAAACCGGAGTCCAAACATGGTGTTGAGGAGCGTGGACTTCCCTGTGCCTGGCACCCCCAGGGCTGACAGGACCACCAGTCTTGACCTTCTCTCCAGTCGGACGTGCAGCTCCTTCAGGAGCCCCGTGACCCAGCGGACGGGGGTGCTCAGGGTGCTGCCGTCGATCAGCTCCAGGGGCAGCCCTGTCAGCAGCAGCTCCGAGGCCAAGCCTGGGAAGTGGGCGAAGCGCCTCTGTCCTGCCGGCAGCCTCCCTGCCTCCACAAGGCAGCTCTCGGCCTCGTAAAACTGCCCCATCTCCCGCAGGAAATGCTCCACCCCGAGGGGCTCAGGCCAGAGCTGCTCGCCCAAGTCTGCGGCACCCCCGTGCTTTGGTCTCAGGGTGAGAAGAGTCTCCGGAGGTTGTCTCAGCCGAGGCTGGGCCACGCGTGCCAGCCCCCACTCCATCCACCTCAGGAAGTACAGCTTCTCCCCTGGGGAGGGGCTGCTGATCCCCGAGATAAACTCCTGCACCCCCGAGGCAGGGTCGTGGCCGTTCTGCTGCATCCGAAGTTCCAGCAACCGACGCCTCAGCTCAGCCCTGTGCTTCTCAGGGGGGTCCTTGGCCCACTGGAGCTGGCAGAACTCTTTCTCCACTTGGGCTGCCTTTTTCCAGGGGTCCCCCTGCAGCCTCAGCTCGTCCCTCCTGTAGGCGTCTGAGTCCTTGATCTTCCTGGTGATTCTCTCCATCCGGTCTTTCGCCTTCTGACACTCCTCACAGTCCTCATCGACTTTCAGGCCCAGCTTTCGGGCTGCGTGTGCCATGTCCTCCACAGACACCCTCCTGCAGGGGGCCCGCGCCACGCTCCCGATGATGGCGCGGATCCTCTTCACGAAGCTCTCGCTGTCCGTGCTGCTGACCTTCACCAGGACGTGCGAGTGGTCTATTTTCAGCACGGGAATTAATTTATTCAGGAATCTCAGGTTTGTGTTACGTTTCCCACGGTAGGGACTCAAGATGAAGTAGTACTTTGTGGTCGACTCCTTCATGGAATAGAGCAGTTTGTATTCCTTCTTACTGATGTTGTCCGTCAGTATAAACACAGCGGAGGAGATTTCTGTCAAGAGCTTAAACTGCAGCCAGTGAGACCCGATGTCACCTCTCAGGTTCAGAAAGGCCACAGGCTCTGGGAAAATGTCCAAGTCCTCCCTGCCGCTGGGAAAAAACCAGGAAATTTCCACCAACCCATCTGCGATCTCGCGGGGATTGGTGCCCAGGTTGAGATCCCGATGCCAGAAGCAGTCCCACTGCCTGTGGCCCGGGCTGAGGATGGCGTTGAGAAGCTGGGACTTGGAGTTGCTACTGACATCCATGCGCACAAAGGCAAAGGCAGGTGCTCTGGACAGGACCACGCTGTCTTCTCGGAAGCTCCCCACCCCCCTGGGGAGCTGGGACCACCACGTCCGCACAATGCCCCGCATGGCCCACAGGAGGAACGTGTGGTAGTGGTTTTCTGAGTCAGGCAGCACAAGAGGGAGTGCGAACTGGCAGAGGGACATTTTCAACACTATTTCTTGTTGCAGGAAACCATCTGAGGAGAGCAGAAGGGCACAAAGGAGGTCTAAGGGGTTCACAGGCGTGTCGGGGGTTGGCAGCTCAGAAAAAGAGTAAATGTCGGCAGCGATGTCATCAGTTGGGTCCCAGTAGATGATCTCCTCTTCCATCTGGCTCTCCTTCTCCACAGGCCTGGCATCCGGGAGCAAGTCCAGCACCATGGTGGTGTTCCGGGCTTCGGCATTGAGGGCCTGCAGCTTCCTGAGGAAATTCCAGGGCAAGTCTTTGGGAACCTGAGGGGCCCAGTTCTTCATGCTGTCAAAACTGATCTGCAGAGAGTCCTGGAGGCTGAGTTTCTGAACCTGGTATGTCTCTAGGCCCAAAAGTGACAGCATTTCTTGAAGCCTGCTTCTCTCCACTGTGGAAAGAAATGAAGACATAAGTGCTCACCCTGTAATCCTGAGTCAGGGGTCAGGGTACAGCTGGTAAGGGAGAGCCCTGTAGGTGGGGGACAGTGTAACTCCTTTCAGAGAGCAGGATGCAGGTATGGGAGGCTCACGGTGTACCAAAGGCTGACCTGAGATCAAGGCAAAGGTGGAACCTCTACATCAAGGTAAAATAATACCACCCCAATCACAGGTATGTGTGACATTTTTAAAAGGGGAAAAAAAAAATGGAAATAGAGAAGTCACATTTAACAATAAGGCGAGTTCACACAAAATCTGGATTTCTGCTTTCTCTAGAAACCCATAAGATCTAACACTGGCTACAGTGAGCAGCACAAGACCCCTGGAAGCTGAATGCAGGCCCCACCTCCCAGACCACAACCCCCTCCCCACCAGGGTGTTCCTGTGCTTCTGGCCCCACATTCTAGCCCAGCTGTGGGCCCCTCGTCCTCACCCCATATTCTATCACTGCCGTGGGCTTTTTCAGTGTCACCAGGAAGTTCCCACAGGGGGCATAACCACTGAATCACTCTCTGGCTTTCCAGTTAATGTTCTTCTCTCTTTGTAAATAGTTTGGAGAATATTTTAAAGGAAATAAGAAGAAACCACTAAGCATAGTGTTAGCAATCACAGTTAAACAACCATTTTTCAAATCTGAGACCAATAATGCAGTTTTTAATTTTAATGTATTAAAATATTCAGTGCAGACTGAGGGTTACTGAGGGTGTACTTATTTATGCTAATACACTGTATAAAACCTTACAAGCTAGGTAGTATTGCTACATCCAAAGCTTCCATCTACCATCCCAGGTCTCAGCCCAGCATTTTACTAATGTTCACACTGCACATAATTAGCTTACTTTAAATGTTAATATACAAAACAGACAAATACAAATTCCACCGAGCTACAGGCTTTTCTTCAGTTCCTTTATTAAGAGAGGAAGCAACATGCACGAGGCCACTTTAGATGCTCAAATAAACCATGAGAAGAAAACACTGGCTGATCCAGCCCTTCTCCCGTTTCCCAGGAAGTTCAAGTGACAGATTCAGGACCACTCCCCAGGTGACCAGCAGGACTCACAGCACTGGACACAGGACTCACAGAGTTCTACAGGCAGTGTGGCTGCAGGACAGCCCCAGAGAGTACAGGGGACCTGTGAACTTACTGCAAAAACAAAAGAACCGTGTGGGAAGAGTCACCTTCATTGGTGTTATTCAGGTTTCCTAGTTTTCCTGAATGAACATTGTTTTTCTTGTCCAGACAGAACAACTGTTTTTATTTTTTAAGCAGTATGGTAGTATAAAGGGCAATGAGGAAAAGACTGAGCAAACAAAGCTATTTATATCTGCCCCCATGCCTGATGTGTGGGCCTTGGAAGGCTGCTGGGTAGCTATGGGCCCAAGACCCTGATCTGTAAGTGAAGCCACCAGACCAGATGGATGGTTTCCAATTTTGGCTGTTTGAAGTGATTAGAATTACTTCAGGAACTTGTTAAAAAATAAAGCATCCCTGGGCTTCAACTCCAGAGACACTAACTCACTACAGGCAGTAGATATGTTTAGTGGTGGTGGCAGGATGGGGGATGGTAGGGGGTTGGTTACTCTATGTGGTTAACAAGCTCCCCAGGGGTTTGGGTTTTTTCTTTTTAGCAATATTATTAATGGTGCATAAAGGATTAATGAACTAGGGCATGCTAAATCTGAGTGCCCTGGATCCCCAGGTGATTTGATACAGTTAAGCGTGGGAATTACCTGCCTAAATGATATCGCCTTTCCATAGAATAGGAAGCTAGAACAGAGAGAAAAAGCAGAGAGAGAAAATGCTTACCTGTTGGAAAGTCATTGTCCTGAGCCTCATTTGTACCATCTATGGAAAATGCAAAGGAAAACAAAGCATCAATCAAAAAATATGCCTCTCATTGACACAAAGTAATTTAAGCTAAACCCAGAATCCTCCTTTCTTACCAAGATAGCAACTTCTCCCAATTGTTCAAAACATAAAATCCCAGTTATTCGTCACTTTACCCATTCCCCCCTTTCCCTAATCCTATCTACTGCCAAATCCTGTAGTAGTTTCTAACCTCCGTAACGGAACTCGCAGTCATCTCCTTCCATTTCTCTCCATTCCAAATCTAGAAGGAAAAAAAAATACATACGATCAGTTTCATCAGCAGGTTAGAAACTTTCTATTAAAAAGTTGAAATGCTGTAATCCTAGCACTCTGGGAGGCCGAGGCGGGCGGACTGTTTGAGCTCAGGAGTTCGAGACCAGCCTGAGCAAGAGCGAGACCCCGTCTCTACTAAAAATAGAAAGAAATTAATCG